GCCTTGCCACAACATTTTGTCTCTTGATTTTCCATGAAATGATACTAAATTACCTCCAAAAAGAAACATATACCAGAAGTGGATCATCTATACTTGAAGAACTCAGCACGGGGGAGTCAACAATAGATAACAAAATATTGAGTATCCTCCCATCTTCATAATGAGGCTTTTCAAGGAGCCTTATCAATATACTTTTGGACATATGTTAGATATTTATATTGCTTATGTTAGATATTTATATTGTGTCTATTGTTATTTTATACAATTATTTGTATTTGGGCTTTAGGACCATATTTTCTTCATTATAAATACTATTACCCTTGTGTATTTCATATACAAGGGAGATTAACCTTATACCTAGTTTTCACTATATTCAACATGATATGAGCTTAGGTTCTTCATCCTTTTTTTTGTCACCGCAACAATTGAACCCGCATTGTTGTTGCCAGAGCTATAGTTCAGACTGGCAACCACACCATTCTACCTTGTCTCAGCTAGGCGAACTGACACTTGAGATCACCACAATGGAGTCTTTACGCATCTCACTCGTCGTTCAACATTTCGCTCAAGAGCCACATTCGCCTCACGTGGCAATGCGTGACAGGCCTTCTCTGGCTACCATCATTGTCGCTAGGCTAACCAACTCTCCCTCTTTCTGGTTATGGCATTGTTGATTTCATTGGACCTTTGTTTTCTTTTAGGGTTTTTGTTTCTCTACTCTTTCTCCATGGCTCTTCTACGTCATTCTGATACCACAAGCCAATCTACTCTTTTCATGAGTTTCACAAATGGTATGAGGATTCTTAGAAAAGTTTAGTTCCACTGCTTCTGTTGCTCACATAGGTATATTTGTGTTGGCCTAACTCAACCTCCTTCTCTTGGACCTGGGTTCTTGACAAAGTGCCACAATTCACATTACTAGTAACAAATCTTTGTTGTCTTCTTTATCCTTTCCAGATAATTTACCTTTGGTTACAATGGTTGATGGGTCTAGGGTCATATCTCATGGTGTTGGAAATGTAAATATTTTTTCATCTTTATCTATTGACGGAGCTTGTAACAATGTTCACCGTTGTCACGCCTTTGCCCGGCTTGCTAGGGTGATTCGCTCACAACATGAACACGCAAAAGAAGAACAAATAGAAGTAACAATCGGGGAGAACAAGGGACCCCAAAAACTGACACGAACATGAGAATAGTCATCAGAAAGTCCATGTAAAGCCAATAACATGAAAATCTTGGATAGTTGCTCTAGTTCTTGAGGAGTAGGAGCAGGAGGTAGTAACTCATTAAAGTCATGAAGAAGAGAATGAATTTTACCAAGATATTCAGCCATTGGCGATGAGTTTTGGGGGGGGTTTTTTGGGGGAAGCAAACAACCTCAGAGATTGACAATCAAACCAAAAAGATGTTGAGCGTCATTGGCGTATAACAATTTGCTTGTTCCCAATCTTAACATGTTCCTAAGTACGAATAGTGTTTTAAAGATGAGTTGATAATGACTTGACGAAACCTACAAATGAACATTTTTCAAACCACCACAGGATGAATCACTCGTAGCACTATATGTCACACTCAAAGTAAGATGCTCAACATACTTCTATCTAAGGAACGTTTATGTTGATGCCAATCTCATAATTAGTGTCATTAACAAGTTCAATCTAACATGCCAATAGGTAGATGCCATTAATATAATTAGTATAGATTGAAAAATCAAACACCATTAAAAAATCAAACACTATGGAAATAGAATTAGGAGACTAGGCCATAAATGAAGAGGAGAGAGAAAAATCCTAAAAACTAAAGTGCTCCAATCAAATCAACACGCACAGATCTAGATCAAGGAGGAGGAGACGATCTAGGACAAATGATCATTACTAGACACGAGGTAGAACGCACCACCACGCATAGTGGCAGGGCACATAATGGCACGTGGCAGTTCTGATGAGGGTGATCTCGACAATGTGGTGGTCGCTGTGGTCCAGACGATCTAATTGGTGGGATCATTGACCTATACAATGGCTCTAACGGCACAAGCATTGACAGTGACAACAACGGCTATGGAACGACGAAAAAAAGGTATATGGGATTATAAAGAAACCCTAGCCCTAGATACCATGGAAAGTTAATTAAAAAGCTATATGTTATTCCCTTTGGTAAAATACACACGAATAATATATTATAATGCAAAATAATACATTAAAATATGGGCTAAGACCAATACAATAATATGTGTAAATGACATAAGATATTGTGACAAACAATTTTTAACAACATCTGACATTAGTATCAAGTAGAGAGGTAGCTAAGCGGTGAAGAGTCGAAAGAGGTTCTATAACCTAGTCTTCGATATGAAAAAGAACTAGGTCGGTCAGTTACAAGGAATTATCCTGTCATGAGGGAATTGCGTAGAGGTTTCTCCCAATTATTGGCCCAACAAAACAAAGGGTAAGGCTAGTATACTCAAAATATGTTCTCGTGGCTTATAACAGATGCAGGGTCCTCATACTCAATTCATTGCTCTCTAAATCTTCTGAAAGGAGTTGTTGATGCACGGAGAAAATGCATGTGTGAATGATGGCATGTATCCATGTTGATATGTATAAAATCTACTGATAATACTTTTTAATCTAAAAAAATCAAGAGAAACATTTATGAAAATATCTATATTTAAATAACTATATTAATAAAAAAAATTATAATGTTTACATATATGCATACACTTTTACACAGTTTCAGATTTTTATATTCTCTAAATCTCATATCTTTTAGTTAATTTTATTAATTAGTTTTACACACTTTCCGTTGTTTATATTTTCTAAATTTAAATCTTTAGTTAATTTTATATTAACTTAATGCAAACAAGCAAAATAGAGTTTCATATTTAAAAGATTAAACCTAAGACGAATGGCTAGGATTGTGGCCTAGAAAATATACAGTACACAATATATGTAACATAATATGAAATATGAATAAATAAAATAATAAAAGATATACAGGCATGTTCTTTTTAATTTAAAAAAATCTAAAAATGTAAAATATCGACTATACCCCATGTCCTGTATTTTTACCGTTTAGCCATATCCTTGTGTCTTGTCGTGTCCCTATCCGTGTTTTTGTTTTCGTAGGTTACAACAATCAGAAACTCTGTACAAAAAGGACCCTCAAACCTCCCAAAGGAAAACTATATAGATTTTTCTCAGAAAGGCTCTCCTCCAAAACAACTAACTCCATAACCACTTTTTACTCTTAGCTATCTTTCTATAATACCATATTCTCTACTCTAATTATTTACCCTGCAAGAGGTATTATGAAACAAACTCTATCACAAATCCTTTGAGGAAAGTGTTAAAATTAAAGACAACGGAGATGAGTACAATACGAAATCATTAAGAGTGGACTTTGATTGAAAACCTAGGAGTGGCACATTGCCTAGATTTGTGGTATTTATAATCTAAAGTCATACAAAACAGAACAACAAATAGAGAAACGGAAAGTTTCAATACTCAATGCATCCAAACAGTGTTTGCCAGTACTCGGATGTTTTTTTCCCTTATTTGCACATTAGGTATGGGCAGCTTCAAGTGTTCATACAGCACTTTTGCTATATCTGCTGGCATATTTAATGAAAATGTTATGCCAGCCAGCTTATAAGCTTCCTTCTCAAGATGCTTTAGTCTGTTAACCAATATTTTACGAGCCTGGATGCATCTCTCAAAATCAACACCAATTCCACAACGCTCCATGTCAGCAAGAACATTCACCTAAATTATTCAGCCATTAACATGTTAAGATCACACTTCAGCTTAGGTATAAAAGCAAAGGATCCCTTATCAACTTAATCACTCTCTCCCGTGAGTACAGGGGTTGAGTTAGTTCAAAGGTATTTGAGTCTAATATACATGTATAGAAGTAAACATATTACTAAAACACTCAAGGAGCTTAAATTTGAAGAAAGTTTCAAATGCATCTTGTATGTCACAATTAGGTAGCAAATTTGTTGAATTCTTCCTACATCATGTCTTTGTCATTAGATGATAACAAATATTCTGTATTTGGTGAGTTGATTCATTTTTCTCATTATAATAAAGCCCTCATGCTGCTTCAGAAACGTGTTTCAGTGCAATATTTATCTCTTCCTTAGAATTTCTCATATTCTTTATAGGCAAAAAGTGTTCTAGGAAATTTTAGTTTTTTGTTTTTTTTTTCAGGCATGAACATTGTTCCAGCCATTAAACAAACATCGAACAATGGCATCCTTAGAATTTCACATATTCTTTATGAACAAACTGTGTTATAGGAAATTTCATTTTTTTCAGGCATGAACATCCCATTGTTCCAGTCATTAAAGAACATCGAACAATGGCAAAGCTGTTGAATTCTACGCTAGGATCAATTTGTTCTCTGGCTAGGCTATCTGTAAGCACACAAAAGTATACAATACATGGTCATTGGTGCCAGACATCTACAGCAACTGGTCGGCTTTCAATGGAGGAACCTAATCTTCAGGTTTGGGTTCTTTCCTTAACATGTCTTCTGCCATTTTCTTTAGTTAACTGCTATATATTATGTTAGAAATGCAACATACAAAGATTTATGTGTTCTTCACCTAATAGCTTAGGAATTTGGGATTATTGGATCATGAGTCAGCATGTTATGAAAGCCTCTATATGAGCAAGAGACTTTGATGCATGTTGCTTTGTGCATTGTCCACACTTAAATTCCGAAGCCATGCTTAAATCCCAAAGAGCTCTAGAATGAGGAGGGATGCTATTAATTGAATAAAAATTATTTGTTTGTCTGCACCTGATAGCTTAAGCTTTTGAAAATTTGTTCAACCAATTTAATGTTGTATACTGTCTTGTTGATGCTGCAGTGTGTTGAGCATACGGTACATTTCAAAATAAAAGAGGAGGAAAATGAAGGTGATGCTGACGAGAGTCATTGTAGTATTAATGCTCGTGATTTCTTTGTTCCCACTCAGGTGATTGGCTTTTAATTTTACCTATTTGTTTCGTTTGTACTTCTGTGTTTCTTTCTGTAGAACAGTATTTCCAATCTCAGACTAAGAAATAAGTATTGGTGTATATCTTTAAATAGAATTTTATGATTGTTTATTGCTTGATACCTTCTGAGATTCAAGTCACATTTAAAGCAAAGCAAAAACACTCTGTTGCTGGATCTCTGGCCCTGGTTTTAGAAGACACTAGCCTGATTAAAATTGCTCTTCATACCCAGGATGTCTGTGATACGATAATTGATAATTCTTTGTTTTGGTCTAGTAGTGAGCTTTAGGATACAAATTGTACTTTTGATAGTAACTGATGTTCGTCTATGGCTTTCTTTGTTCGAGGTAACTAAGAATCGATTTTGAATATACCATTCATTATTTTCTATTATTAACTTGCTTTTTTTAATTTTGAATTCTTACATACTGCATCACTTCTACATCTTCATTATTAATTTTGCATTCGACATTGGCATAGGAAGAATAAGAAAAGTCAAGAAAAATATTTAGGACCTTGATGAGGGGTCTTTTTACAATGTGATTCATTCATGCAAGCCTCTCCTATTGGGAAAAGACGTGTGTTTCAGTGGTTTCTCTTTAAAATTTAAAGCTAAGCTTTTTCCTCTAATTCCAAAGCCTATCTTTTTCTATTATGCAACTCATGCAATGTTCTCTTTGTTTCATCCCTGTTCTCTCGTTAGCTTTTTGCTGCTTAGTATTATCAAGTGACTAAGTTTATACAACATCACAGGTCATGTGTGCGGTGAAAAAGACAAGTCAATAACTGAAAAGCATTCCACAATATATGAAAATATGATACGGGAATAATTAAAAACGTTTCTGTTGAAATATAATGTTATTTTTATTTTTATTATTTTCCTGTGTACCCCGCTTTAGGGGATTATAGGTAAGTGCTTTGCCTCTTCTTTGTATCCTTCAAATACATCAATAAAAAGTCTTATAGTGTACGTAGAATACTGCCGATTTTCTTTGGCAGTTATCTCGTTTTATTTTCATCATACCTCTCTAAGAAGGTGAAGGAAATTTCCCTCTTTTCTATCCATCCTACCTTTCTAAGGTGAAGAAAATTTCCCTTTTTTCTATCCATCCTACCTTTCTAAGAAGGTGAAGAAAATTTCCCTTAAAGATTTTGAAACATATGAAGGCAACCTTCCTTTTCTTTTCCTCCCTGACAATAATACGCTATCCCAGAGACAGTATTCACAGTCCCAAAACTGCAAGTATCTTCCCACTCCTAATTACTGAAATTACCATCCGTATATATTGCATAAAACTACTAGTAGTTATTTTCTATACATAACGGCCACCTTGCAGTTTGTATGCGTTACTGTCATTCTGGAATTTCTAATACAGAACTGTTTTCTAAAACAGATATTCTACATTCCCATCACGTTTCCTTCATTTTATAATCCGTTACTCCCTCTATTTTCTCTTTAATTTTCATTATAAATTTATCTTGTGTGTTAAATATTTGGTATACCTGTGGTCCTCCTCATTTATTGTTTCCTTGCAGGAGAACTGGTTACTGTTAACAGCGGATTATTCTCAGATAGAATTGAGATTGATGGCACACTTCTCTAAAGACTCTTCTCTTGTTGAGCTTCTCAGTAAACCTGATGGTGATGTCTTTACAATGATGGCAGCAAGATGGACTGGGCGTTCAGAGGTCTCTGTGGATTCTCAGGAGCGAGAGCATACCAAAAGGATGTTGTATGGTATTCTTTATGGTATGGGTGTCAATAGCCTTGCAGAACAACTGGATTGCACTGCTGATGAAGCTGCTGAAAAGATTGCTAATTTCAAAAGCTCTTTTCCTGGTGTTGCTTCCTGGCTTCGTGAAGCTGTTGCGTCTTGTCGTAGTAAAGGGTAAGGAGACCTTGTTCTACTTTTACTCATCCCAACTCAAATATCTCTTTACAGTGATACAGTAACTAAGATACTCTAGTCGTTTTGATTATTTAGTGGCAGTGTTGTCTTTATTTATATGTAACTAAGATACTCTAGTCGTTTTGATTATTTAGTGGCAGTGTTGTCTTTATTTATATGGGGATATTTTTTTGTAGGATTTAAAATATTATTTTCTTGATTCAAATTGATATTTTTATTGGTATTTCAACTATTTTAAGCTGTGTATTTTGTTGGAAACTGTGCTTGTTAGATGATAGGTTCCTGGGTTTGAAACCTAACGTAGACAACCCACTCACATACTCTCAGCAATGAAATCAATTGTAAAAGAATGAATATATGTATTCACATCAACAAATGTATGGTACGAACAATAACCGAGAGCCTAACCTCCCTCCACAGGCCCAAATCCTGTCTTTACACAGAATACAAAAATCAATCATACCCCCTGTACAGAACACACACACCCTATTTATAAAGTTCTCTTCCCCTTCCCACTAATTAACTAACTGTCAAACGCTTCTTCTCTCCTAACTGCCCTCTCATTTCCTCTTCCTTCTATCCTCTTACCTTATATCCTATCATTACACCCTGTTGCAAAACAACCTTGTCCTCATGGTTGGTACAATAATGCTTGTTCCCATGTCTCATCTTCATCATAGGAAGCGACCCCATGGGATATTGCCGTACAATTAAGGTCTGGAGGCTTGGGTGGTGGCAATTCCTCCTCCAATGACTTTCATTCTTCCTGGATTCTATTAGCTTCCCACATTCTGGTCACCTCTTTTCCAGAATCGTAAGCCTTAAGAAAACGGTCTTCGGTGTCTTTCAATGCTTCACGCCGCTCTCTCCCTTTTGTCGGTGTATAAAAAACTGCAAGCCCCCTTTTCTGTTCGCTGGCCCACCTCCTCACAATCCATTGTTCTCTCCAGGGTATTGATTCTTCCATCTGCCCTTCCTTCCAAAGCCTTCATTCTTCCTTCCCTCACGCTTCTCTCCCCACAATCCAACACTCCTTTCCTAAGGATATTCGGTAGTCCTCTCTTGTTTGGATCCGGCCGTACTCACCCGTTCGGTTCCGGCAGTTTTCTCATGTTCGGTTTCGGCCGTCCTCTCTCGTTCGGCTCGGGAAGTCCTCTCTTGTTAGGTTCTGGCCGTCCTCTCAAGTTCGGATCCAACAATCCTCTACCGTTCGGTTTCGGCAGTCCTCTCATGTTCGCATCTGACAGTCTTTGCCTGTTTGGTTCTGGAAGTTCTCTCACGTTCGGTTCCGGCTGTCCTCTCACGCCCGGTTCGGTCAATCCTCTACCGTTAGGTTCCGGTTGTCCTCTCATGTTCGGATCCGGCAGTCCTCTACCGTTCGGTTCCGGCAGTCTTCTAACATTCGGTTCCGGTTGTTCTCTCCCGTTAGGTTTCGGCCGTCCTCTCACATTCGGATCTAGCAGTCCTCTATCGTTCGGATCCGGTAGTCCTCTCTTGTTCAGATCCGACATTCCTCTCCCATTCGGGGCTTGGTCGTATTCTTCTGCAGTCCTCGAATGCTTACTGGCCGCGACCCTTTCAAAGATGGTACCCCTGTTCCGTTTTCCAAATTGCACCACCACTGCCCCCTTCAAACCTTCCCAAGAACGATTCTTGGCTTTCTCCTTCCAGGCTTTGAACCAGTAGCCAACGCTCCTCATCATACTGATGTCGGCTAGGCGCACCTTTTCCTCCTCTGTCACACCTTGCCACTCGAAGAACTTCTCTGCCTTAGAAATCCACCCCAACGGATCAAACCCTTCGAAAGTGGGTAGTTGTACCCTTTTTACCTAATTAGGTTGGCCGTCTCCTTGGTCTTCATCCCTTTCCTCCTCCGAGCTCTCCCTTCCCCTTCTCTGATTCTCGTTAACAAAATGTTGATCTTCATCTCCAGACCTTGGACTGCCTTTCAATCCTTTTTCCGGGTTCTACACCCTTCCTCCAAGAACTCGCAAGAGTTCTTTGGTTTCTTGTCGTATTTCTTACATATTTCTTCTCCATTCTGCCATGCTCATTTTGAGCTTTGTCCTGTCTATTTTCTATTCGCTGGCCCTTCTCTTTAAGGAATTGTCTCTTCCTTCCATGCTTCAACCCTTTCTTAATCACTTCTTGATCCCTTCTTGACATCTATCCAGAAGGTCGGACCAATTTGTCA